TCTCAATTATTAGATACATAATATATATCACATACATACGTATCTGTGTATACAATTAGGTGTAGTAAAAAGAAATCCATTATTTTTCCAATAGATGGTTTTAGTAATCTGTATCTCGTCTACGCGTGATACAGATTACTAAAGACATCTATTGGAAAAATAATGGATTTCTTTTTACTACGCCTAATATATAGAAAACTAAAAAAAAAACTAAAAAAAAGGGAAATTTTTCTTCTCATTTTGTGAGTCTGTCATATGCCAAAAAAAATTTGCGAAAATTTTTAACTACTTATATCGTGAAAGTTTGGAATTTTTTTTACAAAATCATTTTTTTTTTAATGTTTCTACGATTTTTTGTTCTTGAGTTATTTGCGAATTAAGTAAAAAGGAGCATTCTGACTTTGATTGCTTATAACTTCATTAAAAATCATCGTATTAGAATTAAAAAATCAGATTCTTGGGATGAGACACTTTTGTCCCCCTTATTCAGCTACGATCTTTATATGCAAATTTATGCATGTAAATATCTTTCCAGAATGGCTGTCGATCTATTACTTTTTTGTGATCATTAAAATCATAATTTTTTAAACTTATATTATAATCTCGTTTTTTTGAAAAAAATCTATGGTAAGATTTGTGTGCAGTTAGTCAAAGAAGCATCTGCAAATCTTATCTGTCACTAAATTATACGCGAAAGGTTACATTTTCAACATCTTTTTTTTCTCTCTCTCTCTCACACACACACTCTCTCTCTCTCTCTCTCTCTCTCTCTCTCTCTCTCTCTCTCTCTCTCTCTCTTTCTCTTATTTCATCAGAAACCTATCATAGAATTTTGCACACAATTTCGGTTCAACTTCATTATACAAAAAAATTAGACATTTCTATGGTAACTCGATTTATTAAAGAACCATCTTAAATAGGTACGTGGATTACTGTTGTTATTACTTGTAAAATATTAATATTGTATAAGTGATAATTTCAAGATAAATTTATCTTGATTATTGTACAAATGAAAATCGGTTTAATTCTTTTAATTTAAATTTGATAATATCTACTTACTGTATATAATTTGTATTTATTTTGCGATAATTTGTAGCCGCACCGTGCTTTATCATAGTACTATAATGTTTGATGATTATTCGCAAGTTTGCAATCACGTTTGTCAAATATATTATCTGGCCGTGCTATATTGGACATGCATGGCGTTCTTTTAGAAGGAACGTCAGCGTGTTTGATGGTGTATATATCAAATGTTATTAAATAATTTTTTTATATGAATAGATACCTCATCGATAGTCCAGAGGTTCTTATCATGGCTTTTCATTGCATTCTTCATTTCTTATCATTGCATTTTCTCTTATTTTATTGTCAAGTATGATGATATTTGACCGATCTTCTTTTTTGTTGAGCATAACAATTCTTTATAGCAATACAATACGTCCAAATATGTATATGCGTCATCATAAAAATAAAAATAAATTTATATATTGTGTTAGGAAAAAAGTCTCTTTACAAGTTAAAAGGCCTTTTCTTATCAATATCTTCATTAAAAATGATCAAAGTTTAAATTTAAAAAAAGGGTTTTAAAGTTTGAAATCTCTACTTTCGAATGGTTACCATATTTTTTTTATTTTTTGAGTGAGTTTCGTAATTTTTACATATAGAAAATTATGAGCTGAAAAAAAATAAAAATTTTTTTTTGTAGGTTCATGCTCAAAAAAAATTTGAGTAAATTTTCGATTATCATGAAAATCTTATAATAATTTTTTGTCAGAAATTGAAAAACAATTTCATAACATTGAAAACTATAAAATATTAGCATTGCTACGATATTAGATGTGTTTTGATACTCTGATTATGATACTCTGGTTGATATTCTTAATATCGAAGAGATTTTAGATACTTTGAACTCTTATTATTCAGGACTAAAATTCATTAGGGAATTTGGGGGTAATACATTAAATTTTTTGGATGTTTGCTTGATTAAGAAGGGAAATTCTGTCATTTTTTATTGATATCATAAACCTACTTTTTCGGGCCGATTTTTAAATTATTTTTCTTGGCATCTCCCTTTCACAAAAGATAGGCACAATAATCAATCTAATTGATAGAATATTACTACTATCACATCTTAGTTTTTACTATGATAATATCATTAAGATCTACTAAACAACGGTTATTCTTTGAGTTTAATCTTTTCAATGATTAAGAAGAGACATTATAAAAAGTTTGATCAATTAAACCACATAGTAACTAAATGTCAAGAACACAGTGAACAGACTTTGGAAGTAAACAAAAAACAATAATTTTTCACAGTATCTTTCATTCTCTATATAATATCTGATGAAATTAAGAATTTCATTAACAATGTTTCTCTAGTACACATGGCATACAGAGGTATTAATAAGTTAAATCATTTTATTAAGGTACAAAAAATACTCTCTGCCAGCGTTGTTTCATTCCAATGGTTTATAAAATCAATAATAACTATTGTAACATATTATACATCGGCCAAACGGGCAGATGTTTAAAAACGCGCATTTCTGAACACAGAAATCATATTAATAAGAACACGACTCAATCTTCTTATTACAGAACATAGAATTGAATTATTCTGATTTTAATTGGGACAATATTAAAAGATTAGAAGAAAAAATTTTAAATAAAAGATTGTTATTAGAGATGATTTACATAAAGAAACAGAAACGAAGTTTGAATTTATAAAATGATGCATTATCGTTAGACCCATTATATATTAATTTATTTACAGTGACGTAATGCTTCCTGTTTGTTGTTTTGTTTTTTGGTACTCTGTGCGATTTGTTTTGTAATTCATTGTGTATTTATTATTCGAACCATCAGCATCTCCGGTAGAAGTCTCGTTTCTTTTGTTATGCGAAGAGTGGGCATGAAAGAGCCTTTTTTTTCAAAATATGAAAAAAAAAATTTAATCTGATGTTAAACAAATATAATCGCTTTCTTACTTAAGTGTACTCATTTTTCTATAAAATCCATTTAACAAAAAAATAATATTTAGTTATTAATAGAGATTTAATCATCATTTTTCATAAATAAGAAATTCAGCTCTTTCAAAACAATGTGTGTTTTGAAAAAGCCATTACCTATTTTGAAAGAGCTAAGTACTAAATTATATAAGCTTTAATATAAATAAAATCAAAATGTCATCCTTTAACAAATATTATTTTTTTAGAAAATTAATAAATTTGTGAAAAATAGAAAATATAATATTTCTAATTAAAAACATTTATTGCAAAAGAAATGAAAATTTCCCTTATTCTCACATTAAGTATGCACCCAGTGTATGCACAGTCAGAGTACAATTTGCACTGATACCAATCTTCATTTACTTACAAAATAATCTATTAAACATGATAGATGATTAAAAAGAGTGGAAGGTGAGTCGGTAAAATGCTTCAGTATAACTTAACCTAGCAATAACATAATCTACGAACCAGAATGTATAAAACAAAAATACATGAAAATCTATTTACCTATAATATGCACAGAGATGCTTCTTAAAGAAGGAGATTGCATCTGAAGATAATCTTATACAGAAGTGTGCTGACAGGATCATATATTGACGCTATATTAATGACGATATATTAATACTGAGCGAACGAAAATGGACTGATCAGTATGATGTATTTCAAAAAATATTCCTAGTGAAAATTTTTCTCATAATTTTTATACGAATTGGAACATTTTTCAGAAATACTCAGAAATATTCGGAAAATTTACATCTTCTCTCAGAATTTTTCGTACAAGTGAATTTTGAAATATTCTGAAATTTCTTATCTCATAATTTTTATAAAATATTTTTTAATTTTTTAGATTTTATAACATTTCATCAGAAATTATATTTACAAAAAATCTTAAAAATCTTACGATATTTCATAATTAACACATACGAAAAATTCTGAGAGAAGATGTAAATTTTCCGAATATTTCTGAGTATTTCTGAAAAATGTTCCAATTCGTATAAAAATTATGAGATAAGAAATTTCAGAATATTTCAAAATTCACTTGTACGAAAAATTCTGAGAAAAATTTTCACCAGGGACTGACGTTTTAAAATTGTACTAAAAAAATAGAAAATCAATTGTATTGAAAAGAACAAATAACACAGGTCAACATTTGATCTAAAAGGATACTCTGGAAGCGGACTGGTCCCAGT